CCTTTAACCCGTGAAATCTGCATTCCTTGTGCCATTTTTCCAATTGTAAACACTTATGGGATAAAAAAAAAAAAAAATTATTCATTTTAGGAAACTCTGAAGTGGCTCAGATAACATGCATCAAACTGTGTAGGCTTAATATTCTTCAACAGAAGAAAATTGCATGGCCCTGTGAATAGGGTGGTGCCTTTTTCCACTGGTGTAACAGATTCTTTTTCTGTTTATTCCCCTGACGTATCCCATATCGTCACATCTGACCTTTGATCACTCAGTCTTTCATGGCAAAACAATAATAAGTGGGAAACTTATACCTGTGATAAGGAAAAAAATATTCATTTTTTGATATACCAGTGGCATGGGTTTTATGAGGTGATGCAGCCCTAGGATAGTGCTGTCCATTACTGGATTGACTGGGGTAAAGTGGGAAATGGTCTCTCTCAGCAGTACTTATCTTGTAAGTAGATTGTTATTTTTATGTGTGTTTGTAATTAATGTGTAAGTAATATGTTTGCAAGCAATGTGTTTCTCACAAATTGATTTTTTTAAAGTTATTTTTGGAATCACTTTGCCTTAGGGCTGATTGATTTAGACCTATATAAAACCCAAATTGTTTATGTAATTTAATGTTTGGATTTCCACTGTGATTTAGATGGCTACAGTTATTCTTATAGAGATACTACAGTTAATAGCAGTTGGGAATTATTTTTGTCATATCTTTTGTCTCAGAAATTAATAATTAAATTAATTTGAAAATTGAAATCTTGTCTTCAATATGCTGAAGATTATGAAAAGATATATACCTGACGTATAATAGGAAGATGTTTGGGCAGTCATACTATAAAATCTTCATGTGTCCTTTCCATCAGCTTCAGTCTTAAAAGTTATTAATCCAGATCTGTGAGTAATGAAATGGAAGTCAAGACAACAAAAATGTTCTATCATTGAAGGTACCTTTGAGTTGATATTTTGTAGTGGCTCAGAAGTGGCAAAACAGTTTTTCTCTGCTGCTACAACGAGGAAAACTCTGATTAGTCGTTGTGTTTCCTTTGGTAGAGTTGTGGGCTGTTATTCAGCTGAGGTTTTCAAACCTTTTTTTAGCCTTTTCGTGGAGGGAAGTATTTGAATCCCAACTGTTTTTTTCTTAATTCAGTTGGAGCTGAGTTCGTTTTGTGAGCATGTTAACAAGCAGATACTCATCTGTTCTGAGAGAAATGTCTGAACAATGCTTGTAGTCTATGGTTTAGCTTTAGGTGTTAGACTAACACCAGGGTGTTAGACTTGATGACCCTTATGGATCCCTTACAACTTGAGATTTTCTGTGATTCTATGAAATATAGGTCTTATGGGCAAAACAGACAGGCATTCTCATTAGCCACTACTTTTTCCATGGAAGATTTGCTTATGAACTAGTTGTCTCATTGAAATAACCAAACCTGTGTGAAGAATAACATGCCACTCTGGTGTCTCAGGAGCAGGGGCAGAAGTTGGACAATAAGTGACACCTCTTGCTCCAGAGGTCATTATCCTTTTTTTCACTGTCACATACACATCGCCTTCAACCTTCAAACAGGCACAGGGTGCCTATGCTAATGCTATCCCTTTTACTTTATTGGGGAGGGGTGGTGGTCGTGAGGGGAGATGTTGGTTTTCCTCTTTGTCACCTCTGTGCTCTTCTTTGGTCCCTCTATAGACTTTAGGTGTGCATAAAACAGCTCAGAAATTATAACCCCATGATTTTTCTCTAAACTGTATAGATTTGTAACTTCCTGGTGTGGCATATTGATGTTTCTCATTATTGCAAATGGAAAGATCCCTAATCAGTGATGGAGGTTGTAATGAGGTTACTGCTAAATGGGTTTTAGGAATGTTGGAGGTGGCGGTTAGTCAATAGCATGAAGTATGAAAGAATAACAGATAATCCTAAGACATGAGAAACTGCTAGTGGTATGTACAAGCAACGGATCAGTGCCCATTGCATGTGGGGTGGAATTCTCATTGCAACTTTCACGTTAATTTGAATTGGTTGTCTTCTTTCATCCAGTGTTTTCAGCTGTTGATAGAGGTAGATGTGAAATATTTACCTTTGTCCACCCTTTCTCCGTGCTGTCTTGGTTGCACAGGATTTGATGTGACTCTCTGGTTGCTGATATCATCCTACCAATTCTTAAGTAAAGAGTGTGTACTTCAGTTTAAACTCCATGTGTTGGGAAGATAATTTTACCTTTTGCGTGCTTTGTCCAGTTACAACCAGGATGTTGAATTTATGGCGAAGTTTGAAATAGATACAGATAGTCAGTATCTTTCTGTAGAGGCAGAATAATAAAAAAAAAAACCAACTGCTGCGGTGGAATACTAATATTGTATATCAGTTGCAGAATATTGTATAATTTTTTTAAACCTTCGGTAGTTCAAGAGCTTTACTTCATTAATGGACATAAACAGAAAAATTGCCAGTTGTTAAGGAATGGAAGAAATAAGAACTGAAGGACTTAAGAATTAAGCAGTGGTTAGAGGACATTTCTATTCAGCGTTTTATCTTCTTTGCGTTATTTCAGCTTTTCTTTACTTGTCAAAATGTAGTAACATTAATTCAACACTTATTTTCAGGTTTATATTGTCTCTCTGCTCGTAATCATTCTCATTAAACCAAAGTGTGAAGAAATATACGAGGACTGGTGCAGACTGTGTGTGGATTGATGTTGACAGATTTTGCTATTTTAGAAAGCAAGAAAACATTGTCTTATTTCCTTTCCCTTTAGGACTCTCTTTGCTAAGTGCCAGATGAAATCCCATGTGAAGGCTTTGCATTCACTGTTCAGTATGGCCTTTCAGTTCAGAGGTGAAAGAAGGCAGTTTGAGGTGTAACAGGTCAGGTAATGATGACTTCATCAACTGAGATGACCTCACAGAAATTTAATCTGCAGGTTGCCCAAGGCCTGATTTTGCAAAGCACACCATCTAGCTCTTTATTTCAACCATATGTTTGAATCCATTCTAGTTGAGCAAAATACGTCTTCTTTCCTTCCTGCTGTTAAAAATCTGCCTGACTGTAACAGGAAAGGAAGAGCCACCAAAACACAGTGTAAATCACCATGTGCCTTCCAAAATATGGTGGAGCATGTAGAATATCAGAAATCAGGCCACACCAGTCATTTAGGTCCTGGGTCTCCCAGTGACATATCAGCTGCCACGGCACAAATAAAAAAAAGGATTTTTGTGCTGTGAACCTCTCCTGGTGGGTCAAGTTCCCTGATGGACTCTGTAGCCTCCTCTTCCAAGCCTACTGATCGTCTGCTGCAGCTTCATAAAGGCTGATTTGCTTTCCCCTTAGCGTGCTTATCTCTCGTTGCTGTAGGTAGCACTGTGTCTGCCTACATTTGCTTTTCTCCAAAACGCTAGTGTGCAAGTTAGCCCATGTTAAAAGAAAGGTCTGAGGACTTTTTCAGTTGCTAGAAGGGCAGAGCTCTGTTTGGTTGCCCATCCTGGAGCTGCTCCCCTAAAACAACTTGTTTCTGGATTCTGTATTCATTCTTGCGTTTCAGTGGAAGACAGATTCTTCACCACGGCTTAATAAAACTTGTAAATACAGGGATAAAAAGGAGGATCTGTGGGTTTTCTGTTTGTTGGTTTGGGTTTTTTTTTTTTGTGGGTTCTTTTTGTTTATAGAGTAAAAATGCCACACTGAACATAATTCCAGCACGTTCCTGTTGAATGCACACAGGAGCCTGAAGGAGCCAGTCTAATCATCTACTTTGGCCTGTGCATATGGATGATGGGCGGTGTAGCACAAGGGCATCACAAAAAAGAAACTTAGCTTTAAATAGGTGCAGCATGACCCATTTTCCTCTCTTGCTCTGTGTGGTGTTCTGCTGCTGGCTCCTGTTTGTGTGGGCTGAGCCCCTTCTGTTGCCAGTCAACTGTTGCCTCTGTTGACTCCTGGGTTTGTTGGTGGCTGGAACTAATGTCCAGCCTGTTTTATAACCGTGTATCTCAAGGTCTTCTTACTCTTCCATGCCATTAGGGATATGGAGGAGGGTGGCATCTTCTGTGTCTTGATCCAGATGGAGTTGGAGGGCAGGGACTGGCTCCCTGTTGTGCCTCTGTTTAGCTATGCGAGGGGCATGGCTCTGCGTGGTAGCAAGTGCCAGTACTGAATTGTGATCTATTATCTTGGTGGTGGGGGAGGGGAAGAAAACCTCTTAAATTTTACTCTTGAGTGAATCTTAATCTTTAAATTAGTAGGAACGGGAGATTTCCCGTGCCATGATTTTTAGAATAACTGTAATCATTTTAAGAAAACAAAGCCTAGGAACATGATGGTGTTGAATGTAGAGTAAACCGGTGTTTGAAATGCTGCGTTGTACATCTGCACATATCAAAAAAGGAGTTTAATTTCCTAATTTGTTTTGGATCTTACTCCCCTTTCCTCATGTTCATCCCTGTTTTATTTTCCTCCTTTTGTGTCTATAATTGCATGCGTTATTAGAACTGGCAAGATGAGCACCTCCAGATGCATCCTACAGGAACCCAGCCAATGCTGACTCTATTCCCATGTCAGACTGCATGCCAAGTCAGTGAAGCTTGGTTGTCAAAATCTATTTCTTTTATTCATTGCTTCTAAATCCATCTTTTCACATAATATTTTGACACAGAGTGGCTGACCTCGAGAATTGTCCCAAGCTTAAGAAGGTGTCTTTTAGTATGTTGAACAATCCTAGTTAAAAATCCTGTTTTAAAATAGTACAGTCTAAGAAGCTTTCCTTTTTCTTCTGTTAGATGAGAAATTTGAGGGGTTTATAATCTGTCTCGTACCTTTTACTGTTTTTTGTAGTGGTGGGTTTTTCAATTTTTTTCTGAATTTTTATGCCCTTTGAATACAAAAAAAAAAAAAGTTGACTAATTTTACTAAACATAATGCATTTCATGTTGCGATTTGTTGCAAAAGTCAACAATTCTTCCTTTTGGGGAAGAATATACTCATTTTACTTATTATTTTACAGGTATCGGTCATCAGCAGATCAACCTTGCTGCTTCTACAGGATCTTTTCCTAATTGGAGATCTATACTATCACCAACACGGCCTTCCACAGAAACGAAGACTTCCTCAATAGCTGATATTTCTATGGGACAGACTTTGGAGAATGCAAACTTGCTTCAGATGATAAAAACAACACTGACTGGCACACGTACTAGAACCTCGGATCAAACTCATCTGTCGCCCACTCTTTATCAAGGCAGTGGAAACAGTGCATCCCAGGAACCCGCTGAAGTTTCAGCTGAGTCGCCTCTGAGGTCATCATCTCAAGATGCAGATGAAACAGCTGCTGTATCAGGTTTGCCTCAACTTGGTATGTTTGCCACACTGTCCACTACACCATCAGTGACACATTTGAGCACAGCTGTGCCATTTCAGCCAATACCATTAGAAACACCCTCCATTTCAAAACAGAGCACATCAGGATCAGACATGCTTGCTGCTGTTCCATCACCATCATTCTCCTCATTGGTAATTCAGTCACCTCATACCATTAACTTTTCTAAACCAGCTACACTGCCCATCAAAGTGCCTTTGTCTGCAGATCCTGAAGGTTTCTTCAGCACAGATTCAGCCAGCTCAAAGGTTAGTGAAAGCAGAAATAGTCCTCTAAGCATGGTCACTGTAGTACCTTCTGGTGTGGTGAATCACAGAAAGAGTCCTGAGTTGTTTACAGGTACTGTGCCTTTCAGTCTCTTTGGATCGACAACAGTGCACTTTACAGAAAAAGTGGGAAAAGGGTCTCCTTCAGAAAAGACCTCTTTTTTGTCTGTATACACTGTGTCAGAAACATACCAGTCTTCCCTGCCAGTAACTTCCAGAAGCCTCTCACAGTCTCCGTATGAGAGCATGTATAATGTCTCTTCTACTGGAGTGAAACAAAGCAGTCAGCTGTTGACTGACCGAAACAGTGATGTCACTCCTCTGTCATCACCAGTTTTTCAGGATAAAGCAGAGGTTTCTACATCAGTCTTCCATCCGCTGGGAACTTCACATCTAATACCCCAAATGAGTCATCCTCAGTCCTCCACAGCACTGACTAATTGCACTACAGGCTCTCCCAGTGCACCTCTCATGTCATCAGCTTCCGAGAGCCTGGCTGAGGTGTTGAGCTCAACAGAGAGCACGTCTTCCCTCTCATTGCCAAAATCACTTATTCCAGATGCAAAGCACGCTCCCAATGCAGTGCTGCCAGTAGGAGCATTTAGAAGTGAAACTGATTTTCTCTTTAGAAATGCAACACAGTCCACAACAAGTGCAAAGTCTCCCTTGCTAACTGAGACAAATGACACCTTCACTATGGGAGCACACACAGACAGTCCCAGTGCAACAGCAGCCGATGAGGATACTTTGCAAACCCCTTTGACTGTTTCCTCACAGTACTCGGTGGTGACTCTGAATCAGACTTTTGCAGAAGATCTGACTGATGAAGCTTACCAGGCAAATGGCATGCCATTGCCAACTGCTTCTCCACGTACTTTCCCAACTTCTGATGGCTTTCCCAGGGCAAGAACAGCTCAACAGCCTTTCACAAGAGGGATGACAGCAAAGATGCCCACAAACTTTAATGCTAATAGTGTCCTGTCTTATGGATCTCAGCTTTCCGAAGTTTCTCCAGATACCCTAACAAGTAAACACCCCGAAGGATCAAAGATATTAAGCACTGTTTTGGCAACAGGCATGACTAGTCCTGATCTAGCTGCAATGCTGTTAATTACTTCCACTGCAGGCCTTTCAAAACCGGAACCTGCTATTGCAAATGCTTCTGCTACTGGTATTTTTGTGACCGCACGTGTCCCACCTGGTGCTGCAGAAAGTCCAGCCATAACTGAAAATAGAGACAGAAATATGAGACTACCAACTGTTGTGACCCCACACACAGAATATTCACCTCCAAGATCTTTAAGTCATTTTCCCTTTGGTCAAACTTCTCGTTCAGGTGATAGAAAGCATCTCGCCTCTGTTGTGCCTCCAGCAGTTTCCTTGACAACGGTGATGGACAGCCACAGCTCCAGCTTTTCTGGGATTTTGAGTGCAGGCTCTGAAAGCAATTTAGATCCTGTCAGCTCTCCTGAAGTCGTGACTTCAGTTTCTGTGTGGACCAATACAGCGTTGCTGTCCTCGGCTGGCACTAGTGTTCCTTCGGTTAAAACTTCAGTAGAAACGACAGTAAGAGAAGTTCCTCCAAGTACTTCCGAGTTGAAAACTGAGTACCATGCACCATATTCAGTAGTTTCAGGTCTGCAAAAGACAATGAATACAAATAAGCAGCCACTCTTCTCCAACCCTTCAGCAAACTATACGTATGCAAACGCTAGTCAAAACATTTCAGATTCACCCTTTGCTGGAGTGAAATCAAATAGTTTTCCAGAATTTGATGTAGATAAGTTTGCATTGAAAACATCTCCTGTTCAGTATTCATCCCTTGCCACCACTTTGACAGTGCCTGACCCCGTGCAAAAAAAGCATGGAAGCACAGCTGAAAACATTGCTAATTTCTTTACTGTTGGAGACATTGATACCAGTATACACTATGAAGCACCTCTCCATTTACATGTGCCTTCTGTTAATGATACAGGTGCTTTCCCCATCTCTCTAGAATCGCAAACAACAAATGCTGGAAAGATTACTTTACTGACAAAAACCTTAGGCACAGCACCGATGTTGGCTTTTCAGCTCACTGGCAACCAGGCTGTTTCGACCAGCAATGCAAACAGTGCCATCCACAAAAACGGTGCCATCCACAACATACTGTCTACCAAGTTCCCCTCTCCTGTAACCAACCTTTCTAGCTCAACTCTCTTGCATAGTTTTATTACAGAAGAAGACATTGGGTCTGGAAACTTGCCAGAATTTGCAGATAACCAGTTAGAGTCCTCTGGTTATTTGGTTATAGATGATAAAAATCCAGCTACGTTTAGTGTGGAGGAGTGGGACAAAAGTGCTACAAGACATAGTCTAGTTCCCAGTAATATATCCACTAAAGCTACTAAGGGCATCCCATTGCAAACCCCTACCACCAGTGCTCTGCAGTCAGTCATCATAACTTCTGTCCATGCATCACCAACACCACTAACTTCTCCTTTTTTGTCAACAACCAACTTTACCCATTCTGTCATTACAGTGTTATCTGGAGTATCTTCTGGTGCAATACCTACAGTAGGAACTTCAGAAGCAAAACCACTAACAAGAAAATCATCTCCAGCTTCACCAGTGCCAGCTTCTTCCTTCCTTTCTCTAGGCACTGAAAACACACCTTTGCCATCTGTGATGGCTTTAAGCACACCAGTACTGACATTAACAAAAAATAACACTGCCACAAAATTGACATCAGATCTAAGCTTAGTAGGAACACATACAGATTTTCCTTTTGCAACAAGAAACACAACTGCATTGCCTGCGGAGGTGACAGCTATGTTCATAACCCCTAAAAGCAGCACGGTCACCGCTTTCACACTCGCACCCACAGCACACGTACCAAGGCAGATAGAAACAACAGTAACAGACACCCAGAAGTTCCCAAGCTCAGAAATCACCAAAACGTCAACCCCATATCCACTGACAATTACAGCAGCTTTGACATCTATTACAGCATCAGCGAAAACAACTAGGCTTCCCCCTACTCCCGTGGAAAACATCTCTGCTCCTCCTGAAACCACGGCAGCAGCCGCTTTCGCTAACATGACAGCAGCTCCTCCCCTGGATTGCCGGCTCTCCAGCAACCTTATGGTTAAAACAGGTACGTGGGGCCACTGGATTTGCTGAAAGGACCTCTCTTGTCTATGAGGGGCAACTGGTGATGAGTGGGAAATACACTCAAGTGTCGAAGAGCACTCGAGTCGGGGGCATTAGTGATTAATCTGGGGGTGAGGCTGCTGCATTGACAAACTAGACAGATCAAAGCAGAGTTGCTAGAGAGGAGTGGCATTGCCTTTATTGGTAGCTTGGATTTTACAAGGAATGTGTCAAGTGAAGTAGTGATATCAGGTACCCTTTAAGTTCAGTGGGTCACTGCAGGGATCTAGCAGAACCACCTTTGTGGAGTGACTACCCGGTATGACATGATGGTTTGGTCTCTGCTTTGTAGGAAGGAGTCTGTGTCGCTGAAGAAGACAGTGCAGTAACCTGCCTCTTTAGCCCTGTTTACAAATGAATACCTAATTCTGTTTTTACATGAACACTTAATTCTATCATTAAAGATTCAAAGATTCATGCGAAAATAATGTTTAGTATTTAGACTTGTGTGCTTCAGAATAGTAGAATTTTGAGCTGAGTAAACAGTACCACTTCTGGCGCTTGCTGTTTATTTGTTTTGGTTTGGGTTTTTTGTTTTGTTTTTATTGTCAGCTTTTCCTTATCTGTAAGAACTCTGGACTAAAGGGGTCTGGAGACGTGTCTTGCCCAGGCTGCATATGGACTCCTTATGGTAGCACAGTGCAGCACCAGATGTGTGTATCTTGGAATAGCTACATAAAAGGGTTTATGACCTTGTATAGAACTGAATGATACTGGGAACAATGAAATAAGCAGCTTTTGGACCGAATGTGTGCTTGGTGGCTCAGTAGTATGAGTACAACAACTATCTCTAAAGAGAGAAGTAGCTTGTATCAGTATATCATTGAAACTACTAAGCGCAGCTATAAAAATCTTTCTGCGAATTATAAGAGAAAAAGAAAAAACTAGTGATAATGTTAATAAAGAAAGTGTACAGACACTTCCCAAAAAATTATTGCAGCAGGGGAGTAACATATTTCTTTGTTTCTTTAACTCTGGAGGTGAAGGAATGAAGCACACATCCTGTGCAGCCCCAGCTCAGTCCCCTGGGAATGCTGCACCAGTCTGTCTGCAGGCAATCGAGTGGCATCGTGCCTCCCTCAAAAAAAAGGCAGCAGGGGAAAGACTTCTTGGTGCTAAAGAACTTGCATTTGTTAGATCTCACTCTGGAAACAATGGACTATTGCCATGGGATGAATAGGGAACTCGGGGATACTGCTGAGCCTTTGCAGCTCTTGTTCCCATTGGAGCTGCTGCAAATCCTAGCTGCTTTGATGACCTCCACCCAGCTAGCACAACATGAAATAATTTAAAAAAGTGAACAGTAGCATGTCTCAAACCAACATGTGGCTTTTGTTGTTCCACAGTTCTGTTTCTGAACACAAGGAGGATGCTGATCAGTAATGCCTTCAAGGAGAGTGTGAGAAAAGGACTCAACCAAGTGCTGAGACAAGCTTTCAACCAAAATGTCAGTGCTCAGGTAAGCATGCTTGGCTTGCCTGCATGATCTCACCAAAACAGCTCTCCAGTCAAGAGAATCTCAGCAGGCTGCAGCGCCAGTGGTGTTTCCAGATGCAGGAAGCCTCTTGGAGGGGAGCACCGAGCTTTTCCTATGGACAGCAGGCATAGGTGGTACCCACTCTTGGCTCTGAAAATATAAGGACCACTCCAAAGCTTTTGCCATTTTGTCTGATTAAGTAGAAGGGTGAAACGCAACTTTCTTTTTGGTACGTTCTGGGAAATGACTACTGACAGCAGTTTCCTCCTCCCCCTGCAGCTCAGGAATGACGCTGGTTCACGGTCAGCTGAGTGCAGCTGTGCCCAACCTGGATCTATTGCAAGAGCGGGGCTGGTAAATGGGGTGTCACTGCTGTCAGTCTGCTCCCTGGTTTGAAAACCCAGTACCTGACAAGTGCAATTCCACAGGGACAAAAATCCTGAGCAGGGGAAAAGCAGGTTTTATTGAAAATAAATGAGGGAGACATGTTGAGCTAAATTGCACGAACCTCTGCATTGCTGCGTGTAAGAGCAGACACAGGTGGATCACTGGGGCACTCTTCTCTGCAACGCAGGTGTCCGTGCACTTAGGCAGGGGTTTGTGCTGAGTTCCAAGGCTGTTAGGAGTGATACTCAACAAGCCATTGGGAAAGTAAAAAATTTTTCCTCGAAATAAGAGGGCATGAGGTTGATTTTTGTCCCCATGCTCTGTTGCTGCAAGTTCAGATGACGTTAGTTGGTTTGGGAATTGTGTATTCCTGACTCTTAGAAGCAGCAATTAAAACTGTGAGACTTTTTTCTCCCACCTTCTTGTAAACCTGAGAGAAGCTGCCTTTTTCTAACCAAGGAAACCAGCTAAAACTTTGTGTGGAGGATCAGCTTCAGGGCTTAAGCTTTTTGCAAAATACAGAGTTTTGACATAAAACTTAACTCATGCTTTGGCTCACAGTGTGTTCCTTTTTGTGGTTTGTCATTTCTACTTATATAGGTGATAGCTTAACTATCTGGGACAGTATGGGAAAAATAGTATGGAGTAGAGTTGTGGTTGAAGAATCAAATATTGCAAACTTTTGTCTTTCAAAAATCTGTCTCCAAACCTGCAATGACAGACACATGTGCAAAGGCAGGGAACTTCAGGTATGAAGTGGGAGCTGGATGTTCTCTGGATTCTCTATATTTTTATATTCATGGGTAGAACATCCCAGTATCTAGACACGAATGAAGCCTCAGTCTGAATTAGAGGTAGGTGAGCTGTGGTAGCAATACTGCACTGCTTCTGTTTGGAGCAAGTGCTGCATGGGCTGGGTCTAAAGCTCTCTGAGCAGTTCTGCTAATACTGTGTCTGATGTGACACTAACTGATCCTGTAGGGCTTATTGGGGATTACAGGGTAAAAACTCCACAGGGGAGCCATACTCAGGATGAGAAGTCCCATCAAACAGCAGTTGAACTGCAAATGAAATAATAAATGTTTCCCTGTGTGTTTTAGGTTGAAATCCTCGAGCAATCCAGTAACCTAACAATTGGTTACTACGTTACGCGGGGCAGGATGGTTTTTATGCCATCGGCTGTAATTGAAAGGCTTCTTGCCTACGGGATTAGCAACGCCACAGCGGATATAAAACAGCACGTCCCACATCTCCAGTCTGTGGTGGCCCTGGCCTTGCCGTGGAAGCCCCTTCCTGCCTACCACTTCCAGCTGAAAACAGGTGAGCGAGGTCCTGCCAGCGTTGTGACTGTGTTGATGGCTCAGTGCACGGGGATGATGCTCCTCGTCCCTTTGCTGTCCTGCCTGAACCCCAGCTGTCCGGCATAGCAGCTGGCCAAGCTCTGCTTTGGTCTTTGCTGTCCTACCCGAGCCCTAGCTGTCTGGCATAGCAGCTGGCCAAGCTCTGCTTTGGTTTAGAATCATAGAATCATAGAATGGTTTGGGTTGGAAGGGACCTCAAAGATCATCGAGTTCCAACCCCCCTGCCATGGGCAGGGACACTTCCCACCAGAGCAGGTTGTTCAAGGCCCCATCCAGCCTGGCCTTGAACACTTCCAGGGATGGGGCATCCACAACTTCCCTGGGCAACCTGTTCCAGTGTCTCACCACCCTCATAGTAAAAAATTTCTTTCTGATATCTAATCTGAATCTTTTTTTTCTTCCAATTTAAAACCGTTTCCCCTTGTCCTATCATTACCCTTCCTGGCAAAGAGTCCCTCCCCAGCTCTTCTATAGGCACCCTTCAGATATTGAAAGGCTGCTATAAGGTCTCCCCAGAGCCTTCTCTTCTCCAGGCTGAACAATCCCAGCTCCCTCAGCCTGTCTTCATAGGAGAGGTGCTCCATCCCTCGGATCATCTCCGTGGCCCTCCGCTGCACCTATTCCAGCTGGTCCATGTCCTTTCTGTGTTGAGGACTCCACAGCTGGACACAGTATTCCAGGTGGGGTCTCACGAGTGCAGAGTAGAGGGGCAGACGTGTTGATGTTCCTGGCACGAGCAGGACAGCTGGTGTGTGCATCCTGCTCTGCTGTCACCTCTGGTGGCACTGCTGCGAAACGAAGTGGCATCGCGTTAGGGACGAGTCACGCCAATATCCTCAACTAAGGCTTGGTGCTTGATTAAAACAGACTTTAATTGATGGGTTGTGCTGCAGCCTGTGTGTTCCTTTTGAGGACAATCAGCTGAGAAACATGACTATACGAGAGATACACATTGTTCTGGCCGGGCCCATTGGATTTGACTTAGTCTCTAGCAGTTTAACCCAGGGTCATTGCTTAACTGCTCCGTACTGGGGCAGGCATTGATTCAGAGCAGTTGCAGTGCAGCAGAACAGTATAAGCTATGAGAGGGCAGAGAATGCTGTGAAATAATGGATTCAATTGTAAAAAGATTTCTTATGTGTGGTTTACATGTTTATTATTGCAATTAGCCAGTTAAGTACAATTTTCCCAGCATAAACAGAATGAAAATCAGTATCATGACTGATTATGCCTTGCAAAAGCCAACGACCTCCAAGATTTAAGAGTATAACTTGCATTTTAGAATGATTTCACTTATTGCCTGGCTCTGAGTAAGTACAATGAACTGGTCTTATCATCTTATATATCATTGCAGAAACAATAACCATTTGTTTGTGGAGAGTATCAGCTCTAATAATGCAATTTAACTCTTATGTTATGTCTTAATTAAGGCTAGTTTAGTGCAGTGCTTGAATGATATAAACTGATCCTATGTGGCATTATTTTCACCTGCTTAATTTTTAAATTGGTCATCTTGCTGTCAGGCGTGACAGGAGTTATGCAACCAAGAACATTTTGTCCACATACAAACACATTGTTCCTTTTCCAGAGCTGCAGTTTGTGGGTCAAACGGACAATATCCAGTCATGCAAATTTGTTCAGACCATGGAGCAACGGTTACAGAGAGCATTTCAGGATGCTGAAAGAAAGGTCTTAAACACCAGCAACAACTTAACCGTTCAGGTACACCACTGTGTGCTTTGCCAGTGACTGTTGTCAAACTCTCTGGGTTATTCCTTCCTATGTGTATGCTTGCATTTCAACATAATGTCGTGCGTATGCTTGCATATGCAAATGTCTTTGATAGGCACTATGGAAGTAAGTTTATGTTTTCATCTGAAATAAGATTGTTTTATTTATTGCAGGAAAACTTATAAATGCATGATTTATAGAAGACAGTTACTGTTATTTTCATGAATTAGAATTATAATGTTTGCAGTCAAATAATTTAAGTGAAATTCAAATAAAAATAGATATATAAAGATATTATTCCAAATTTTATTTTATTTTACTGAATATGTTATTCTGACATGTTAGTTGTCAGTTTATACCTATTCAGGTATAAAGATAATGTTTGTAGCTGTCTGTAAGATCTAAGCTGATGGAATATATTTCTTTCTTTTTTGTGTGCATTCCATTTCCATACTCACAGGCCCAAATTTGCTATTAAGGGCATGATTTTTGCAGACCTTTATATGTATAGTGGGCCAACACCCTTCTGCGGTGCCCTACATCAGGAATAAAGAAATTATCCTCTGGGTGATATAATGCTTTGTATTTGACTTATGATAAAACTCTGTGCATGGATTTTTACTCTTCAGAATAGTTTGCATGTAGCTTATCAGAAGGAGAAAACTGGTCATCAGACCTCTGTGTAGCTACTTTGGTACTGTCTCTTGTGAGCTTGTGTTCAAACTGAAGGAGCTCAGAGAGGCAAAAAAGCGCATGCCAAGAGCTGACCTACTGCAGTAGGTAAAGGGATTATCAAGCTTTTCAGTAGCTGGGCCTGTGATGCTGAGGGGAGCTTCATGTTGGCTAATTTGATTGCTTCAGAAGTGGTAGATCTCACAAAGCACCCAGGCAATTTTATAAAGAGCCCTAGAAGAAGATAGTAGTTGTGGGTTTTGTGGGTATTTGCAGCTTAGGAAGCGATAGGATGGAGGTTTTGGAGGCAAGATATAAACTAGGAAGTAAGAGACTCAAGGGTGTGATCTTCAGGATGATTTTTTCTGAAATTATTTCAGTACCATGCAAAGGACTAAATCAGCGCAACAGAAAATAGTAGGAGGGTTTTAGACTAGTTATAAACTGAGAGGTAGTTCTGAAGCAGATGGAGCTGATTCAGACAAGATCTTAATGCATTACAAGAGTAGAGGGAAGGGCAGCAAGATGGCTCTAAACGGCATGAAAAAACTTCCATGCAAGGAGAAATTAAATCGGCTGTGGTTCTCCAACCACAAATGGTGCAGTGAATCAAGACTGATCATTTGGAGTTTCTCATAGCAGAACTACTCAGGTTTAAATAAAAAGAAGAATCCTTTCACACAGCAGGTAATAAGGCCTTGAGGATGGCCGAATGTAACCGGAAAAAAGTATGGAAGTCACAAAAAGCGATTGGGCAAACCTATAGAATAAAAAGTCATCAATTGTTTTTTAAACCCAAGTATATGATTTATGGCTCAGACCATAGCTGTGGGCTAACCTTACACAGTGGAAAAGAGCCCTCTCCTCTTATCCTCTGCTATTCTCTAACCATCTTCTCCAGGCCATTTGCAAGAGGATGTCGGCTAGGCAGACCTTTGCCTTGACCTCAAACTCTTCTGATGCTTTTATTATACTGTGTTTTATGTTTTTACTTAGTGGTCCAAATCATAAAAATGGGCTATTTAAATACTATTCATGGATGCTGAATGCTGTTGGCCCTACCTACAGTACCAGTAGCCAAAAAACATCTCTCTTGTCCTAGATCATGAGTGTTCTGAGAAAACATATTTTTTCCCAGTCTTGTCCTTCCTTCACCTCTCTGCTTCCTGCATAAAGCTGATGTTTGAAGATCTGATCCAGTACTCACTAAATAGAATTGGTCCTTTAATGTAGCCATCAGTTTTGGGCTTAGGAAGAGGCTGGCATAGAGCTAAAGTGGGGAGCAGTGCTGGCAATTTTATGACACTAGGAACCGAAGAGACGCGGTGTCTCTCTTTATTTCATATGGAGAAGGTATAGGTCTAGATAGCTGCACTAGGAAGGCAGCAAAGAGAGCAAAACATACAGGCCTAATTGCTCTGCATGAAGTAATTAACGATTTTTTTCTGGTAAGCATACTTTGCCTCATCTTACATTTCCTTGTAAAAACGAGGGAAAAACATTTTCAGTCCTCACTGTACCTTTTCTGCCTGCTGCTGTCCTCAAGTAACTCTGCATGTGCTAAAGTAGGAATTAAAGTATCACAAACTGGTTTACACAATCATTTTAAGTGAGCTATATCTAATGCATTGTTCAAGTTAACTTCTTCCCAGTTTGTTTGCACTGGTTTTGGGATTTTTTTGTTTGTTTTTTTGGTTGTGTGGTTGTTTTTTTGGGGGAGGAGGGGGTTTATTATTTTTTTTTTCAACTAAGCTGAAACACAGATGCAAATTATTTCTTTACCTCTGTTTCAGATTTTGAACACCTCCAATGTCTCCCAAGCTGTCACTCTGTTTTATGTAGTGAACAATCAAAGCACAACTCTAAATGGCACTATTTCCAGCAACCTTCTCAATCAGCTGTCAGCTGAGCTGGTGGGTTTCTATCTAACCTACCCGCCTCTCACCATTGCAGAATGTAAGTATGTGCTTCCCAACACACAGCTCCTTAAGATTAGCAAGTGTTGGGCTTTCGCTTTGAAACCACCATAAGCTTTGTCGTCAAGCTCACTAACTGTAGATGTTTTCAATGACTGCTTTTTAAACTTTTGATTCTTTAAAAAAAAAAAAAAAAAAAAGTGGGGAATCAGGTGTGGGGTTTTTCTGGGTTCAGTGTTTACTGTTTAAGAAAAACATATATATGCTGACACTAATAAAAATTGCCTGTGCCAGGTTACAAACAAAATAAAATTGTAGTTTTATATAAAAACAAACCACAGTATTTCCTTAAATCTCCATTTCAGGAAAACTTAGCGCAGCACATGAAGTTCATCTTCAGCACAGCCCTTGACTGCAGTGAATACTCAGCCCCGATGCTTGCTCCAGTGGCAGGGCTGGGTGGCTTTCAGTGGGTGTTTTGATAGGGGGTGAGCTCTATCTATGCTTCCTCGATTAAAAAGTTGGTGGTGTATTTGCTGAACTTCATCCTCAGTTTAGAATGTGGTCTAAGCACTTTAGCACCAATAATTTGCTGGCTTTTCAGTTGTTGTGAAGAGTCAGAGCTACGGAGAGCGGGAGACAGTTGTGTGTCTGGGCAGCCTGTGTGGCAGATACGCTCTCTGACTCTGCATGCTAATTTCTCTAAAATGAATAAAGGGACAAGACATTTGATTACGTGGATTTCTGTTTAATCTGCTTGTTAAACATGGCATGTGAAATTAAGGTCACTGTAGAGCCGGGTTATCCGTTCGCTGGAGGAGATGAGTGTTCACTGGAAGCGAGAGGAGACAGGGACATGCTGGGTATGTCAGCACATGGTGATCGACTCTGGATAAGGAAGGGCAGGTTTCATGATCTCACTGTCTGTAAATCTTCCCGAGATGCTTGTTAAATTTGAAATACTGTGCTCAAATACCAGTAAAAATCTGGTTAAGCTTCTGGTTGCTATCAAACTCACCGCAAAGGCTAAACCAGAGATAGAGTAGTTTGCAATTTCTCATTTTGCAAGTATTGAAATAATCGGGCACATAAGGATAGAGGCCAAATATGTCTTTATGATCAGAACATTGAACTGACTGGATTCATAGCTTTGGGCAAAATTATTAAGGTGCCTGTTCATTTTCTGATTCTAAGAAAAAGCATAACCAGGCTGGTGGAGAGAGCACTGGGGAAAACGCAAATTACCTTTTTTGTCGGTCCATTTTATTTGCAAACAGCCCAACAGCAGAGTAATTATCTTGTGCAATTCCTCATCAGTTACTTGCACAATATGCTCTCTGGGTAAGTGGTTCCTCTCTGGTGCAAGGCATTTGGGAATCACAACTAACTCTAGTGACTGTGCAAATCCTAGAAAAAGGAGGATATATTTTTCTTGAGGCATTACCTATCTAAATTGGATATTTGCAAACAAGTACGTTAAAATCCCAAAAGATGAGTTCTTGCAGTTTGTTGGCGCACTTTTGAATCAAACTTTCCATCACAGGATGAGAGATGTCTCAGGACAGACTTGTGTTTTCACCAGGCCTTTCCACAGGCAGGGGGAGGTGGATGGAAGGCATCCATCTCTTGGACACAGGGTGTGCTTGAGGACCTAGAAAAGGATGTAGACCATTCATGAGACAGGCTCCTTCCTGTTCGTGGCTGGTGGGTGAGCCTGTCACAAGGTCTGGGCCTAGAGAGTGGTGGTGAATGGAGTTAAATCCAGTTGGCGGCCGGTCACGAGTGGTGTCCCACAGGGCTCGGTACTGGGACATGTTCTTTTTAATATCTTTATCAATGACCTGGACGAGGGGATCGAGTGCACCCTCAGCAAGTTTGCAGGCAAAACCAAGCTGGGTGGCAGTGTTGACCTGCTGGAGGGTAGAGAGGCTTTGCAGAGGGATCTGGACAGGCTGGCTGGATGGGCCGAGACCAACAGGATGAGTTTCAATAAGGCCAAGTGCCGGGTCCTGCACTTGGGTCACAACAACCCCAGGCAGCGCTACAGGCTGGGGGCAGAGTGGCTGGAGCTGCCTGACAGAAAAGGACCTGGGGGTGTTGGTCGACTGTCGGCTGAACATGAGCCCAGCAGTGTGCCCAGGTGGCCAAGAAGGCCAATGGTATCCTGGCCTGTATCAGGAACAGTGTGGTGAGTAGGGCCCGAGAGGTGATCGTCCCCCTGTACTCGGCACTGGTGAGGCCTCACCTCGAGTACTGTGTCCAGTTTTGGGCCCTTTACCACAAAAAAAGACATTGAGGTGCTGAAGCGGGTCCAGAGAAGGGCCACAAAACTGGTGAGGGGTCTGGAGAGTAAGTCTTATGAGGAGATGCTGAGGGAGCTGGGGTTGTTTAGTCTGAAGAAGAGGAGGCTGAGGGGAGACCTTATCGCGCTCTATAACTACCTGAAGTGGTGTGTAGAGAAGCGGGGGTCGGCCTCGTCTCCCACGTCACAGGAGATAGGAAAGGGGAAATGGCCTCAAGTTGTGCCAGGGGAGGTTTAGATTGGATATTAGGAAACATTACTTCACAGAAAGGGTTATCCAGCGTTGGAATAGGCTGCCCAGGGAGGTGGTTGAGGCACCATCCCTGGAGGTGTTCAAAAGACAGCTTGACATGGTCCTCGAGAATATGGTTTAGTGTAGTGTTGTTGTTTGTTTGTTTGTTTGTTTTGGTTTTTTGTTGTTGTTGCTTATTTCTTATTTATTTATTTGTCAGAGTTAGGTTGATGGTTGGACTAGATGATTTTTAAGGTCCCTTCCAACCTAGACGATTCTATGATTCTAAGAGTGCCCCATGGGCAGGACTTGTCTTCACAGGGCATCCAACAGCACAAGGAGAAAGCCCAAGAAAGTGGTTTTTTTTTTAATAGTGGCTGTGTTCAGTTCAAGCTTTTGGCCTCCAAAATAGGCCTGTTGCACAGGAAGACGATTATGCCTCTTCTTGCAATACAGGCGTATACTTGGTAGTCGGGAGCTGTGGAAGACATTTGTCACACAGTGAGAGTCTCATGTGGTATTGCAGTTCTCTACTGATCCCTGCACATGATGAACTGACCCGATAAAGTCTTTAGCTAGTGCTCCTTTAACAACTAATAGCTTATATTTCATGTTGAAGTTCTTGGTTTTATTCCCAGTGCAGCAGGTATACTGCAAACTCATGAACTTAATGCGCGTGTAGTATTTATGGCTTCAGACTGGTAGCGTGTCTTGTGAAAATGTTTACTTTGAAAAGTGTTTGATGCTTATTCATGTGGCAGTGCATTTGTTTCAAACACTGATGCTTTTTTCAGAGCACATTATTCCCCAGTAGACTCCTGTGGCTCCTCCAGAGCCTTTGCAGTCTGTCATGGAAATGCACAGCTCAGGACACGCCATGAAATCCCTCCTCAAAAGCAGTTACTGTCTGTAATCAGATGCTTTACAGTGTTTACTATTTCAAGCCACTTTGGAGTTTAAAAATCAAGGTAACTCAATGACAGTGTATCAACATGCAAGGCAGGGATATTTTCTGAATTAAGTTCCAAGTGTTAATGCTTTCCGCATTGCATAAATCTATTGGAAAAAATGCTGAGCTGTATAATGAATTAGGCTGTAAAGTTCAATGTGCTGCTAATTCACTTTGGAGATGGAAAAGCTAGCAAAAGGCATCAAAACAGCAAACATCAGTTTCTCGCAGGTGTAAACACATATGGCAGTAATACTTTAAATGGTGCTCAGTGAGTACCACAGTCTAAGGTGTGTTCACAGTTTTGTTAGTCTCGTTTGTAATTCATGTGGAGCTGCACCCTGGTGAAATCTGATCCTGGTTTATTTTAATATTATTTTAGGTTAAAATGGTGGTCTGGGTTAAGTAAGTATTAAGTCACAGAATCACCAGAGAATGTAATCTTGTTTCCCCAGGGATTATTCATAGAGTGAAAGCAGCAGAAATGTATATAACATAGACACATGCATATTACATGTCATTTTTAGTAATGGGCAATCTTTGGCTTTGCCCCAGATGATGTATCAGCCAATATTTTGGCAACAGAAGATACATGTTCTACTTTGTACAGCAGCGCCTGTACTGTTTACACTTGATGTCCTTTTTCACACAGAAGAGATGTTGTAATCCTGAAAACTGTACATCTAGATTTCCTTCTGGGCCATAGTTCGATTTTATTTATCAGTGACTGGTTAACCAAATAGTTTTGGGACAAATAAAGTGTAGGATATTGAAATATTATGACATAATTTCAATTTTTATTTTAAAGCTTTGGAGTATCCAAACCTCGATGTCTCAGAGTCAACTAGAGACTACTGGGTGATAACAGGTACTTTTAAATCTCCTTCCCTCTTCTGTGGACTTCAGATAATAATTTTTAGTGCTTAGTTATATAAACACATTGGTGCAGTAGTTTTATGCAAAAAATAAGTGGCTGCCAGCCGAACCTTCGTGTTGCATTCAACTGGGCAAATGTATTTAACATTACTCTTGGGCATAACTGTGATTCATCATCTTAAACTGAGATGTCTCCTGCTTCCAACACTCACCTCAGAATTTATGCCACTTTGGTTTAAGCACTTCAGAGAGCAGCATTATCTTCTCAGAGTTTTAAAATGCAAATAGGCTTCCCCCCCC